TATATATTCTAAATTTCTACCAAATCTTAAATCAAATTAAATTACATATTTAATGTCTAACAACACAAAATAAAATATCATACATATATAAAAAGGCTTACACGAACTATAGTGTCAAATTCAAAAATACGGTCCAAATTCATCAAAAAGTACTTGTCGAATTCATATCACTGATAAATAAAATTTATGACATAAATAGCCCATTTTCACGCACCCTGTCAAGCTCGATGTCTCTTCCCCCAAAACTGAGACAAAAACTAATATATTAGCAAAAAATTATTAAATAATTATATATGTAAATATTCTACAACAATTCAAGTCCATCGTGAAACTAATAGATTTACTTACATTGTTATTCAATACTTCAAGTCCTTCGTCAACAACCGCTTTCATGAACTTAAGAACATAATACCCGCATTCTGTATAACTAGGCTGAAAGGGACACTGTACAATTATATAACAAATTGATCAGTAAAATACCAATACCTTTCCCCATATGTCAATACTTGTCTGCCAATATCTTCTGAAGCAACCATCTGTATGTGAATGTTAAGATCAATCATAAATCACATTAAATATATTATTAAAAACTAATTAACCTAAATTACATACTCTTGATTCAAGGTTCATCAGAATGGCAGACTTGGTTGACTGCTTCGCACGCTCCAGCTGTACCTGGTTGTCTGAAAGATTACATGTTAGTAACTTTGACTAAATGCAAGAAATAGCAACATACTTTCTCTTATTTGTTTATTATAGCATCTTACTTTCATTTCCTTCTATTACAACTTTTGAAAAATATATCCAATTAAAACAATGAAAATATGATTTTTTTTTTGTTTGTTTATTTGTTTTTAATGCTGTAGTAGTACGAAGAAATGAAAGTATGATATAATAAGCAAATCACTTAAAGTAGCTTGCTATTTCTTAAAAAGTAATTCAACTGTGACATATTATAGCTTACCTTCTCCGTTGGTGGCAACTACAATTGTCTTAATTAGGGTATTACTATTTTTTTCCATCAAGATAAAATGTTGAATGGGTATTTAAATGATGAATGTCTGGTTGTATGAACAAAGACTTTCTTTCTTGACATCATGTATAGATAAACCATCGGAACAAGATTAAATAAATTGACTATTTTACCCTTTTGTCTTAGAAGCAATGCTGAATAACAATAAATGACTGACCTGTTGGTTTGCATGATCCTTCAAACCATCAATCCAACTGTATCACTGAATTGTTCCTTTTGTCTGTACAGTATGTGCTGGAGAATAGACAAGACACTCTTATATTTTGTATATCTTTTTAAAAATTCAAATGAAATAATTGGACACTTAAACATTTCTGACACTTCTTTTTCTGTATATGGTGTTTGAATATAAAACTAAGTGTAAATTACATTACTGGTCCCTGGGTTTGTTCAAAATTTTCAGTTTGGTCTCAGATAGTTTCCTCTTGCAATTCGGTGCGCCTTATTTCCATTTTTGTAATGATTTTGATTCATATATATAGGCACCAAAATTGCAAGATAAAAACTATTGAAAACACAATTTTTGAACAAACTAAGGGACCAAAATCATTAAAACAATTGGAAATAGGGACCAAAAATGTAATTCACTCTAAAATAGATGAAACAACATACCTTTGGCAGATAAGGGCTTTCGGCATCATCAAATGCATTGCGCAAGACCAACTTCTCAATCCTCCCAATATCTCGTTGAATCTATAATAAAATTACAACAAATTAAATCTTGGAAATTTAATTGTATAATTATTTATTCAATGTCGTGTTTGATTGGATGGAATGGAATGACCAAATTATACATTCCATGATCATATTTGGTTGGCATGTAGATATTTGTTTTATATTTTGTAAATAAAACCCATGCTAAATAATATTTTGAATATAACTATAGAATTTATCGTTTACTAAATTGAAGAATTAAACATAACAAAGCTTATTAAAACAAAATTAGGTTTATACTACAAAAAGGTTTCTAGTTATTAAAAAAAATAGTTTAACTAAAATCATGGAACTTTTACAAATGATATGTCCTTGAAAATTTTATAGATAAAAATGGGCTATGTTACAAATTTCCAATCAATTCCATAATGAAACGAAAAAATAACACCCCCAGCTTAAGGAATGAAAATTAACAAAAATTCAAGGACTTATGAAGATCGTTGTATAATAAATTATGAATTTCAAGATTATTTTGGTATCTAAGAGTAAGAGCATATATTATAATTTTTATGAATGAAAGTTAAAGTTAGTTTACCATCTTCCACTTAGGGTCAATACTCATTGCAACATCATAAGAGTTAAGATAACAGTCTTGCTCACTGTGGAGCCCACTCCAGTCTGGACCTCTATGGCGCAATCTGACACAATGAACAAAAAAAAACATAAAGAGGGGAATCAATAATTGACAACTTATCTAATGTGTTTTAATTTTTTACAAAATCATACATAGCCAAGATTCATTTTGGCTCTTTTAGAAGAAAAACATATAGGTTATTAATTACACATTTGTATTTCAAAATCTTTTGTTGATTAAATTCAAACACCAAAAACTACACCCATAGTTCAGTATGCATACTTCTTACAGGAACAAATATGCATACTTAAGTGCTTTTGAGAGTGTTGTTCTTCGAGGGAATGGTGGGTTTGACCTTAACTCTAGATTGGGATATGAAAATGAGGATTCAAAAGATGTGATTTTGGTCAATCATATGTCTGATATTTACTGTTTTACAAAGCATTATACGGAGCAAGGAGGCAGTCAAGTGACCTTTTAGTGTTTAATCATCAAAGTAGAGATTAATATGGGATTAAAAGAGGATTAAGCAAAAGCATATGAAGCTCATTAAGCAAATTAGTTAACACCTCAGGATTGTTACCATCTTCACCAATCTCAGCTTTCACTTTCTCAATCTGCAAACAAACAAAATAAAGGTAATGTAATGTTTTTAATTATCAAATATGCAAAAGACAACTTTCAAAAAGATATGACAAGAAATAAAGTGAAAAGGAAACAACTAAACAAGCACTTGTGCTTTGACCTCCCAATCCAAGAAAGCTTGATTTCTTACAGAGTCAACAAGTAGCTCCACCATTTGAGGAACATAACTCCTCAAAGTATCATAAGAGTATAGATTATAGATTCAGATGAAATCCAACAAAAGCAACTAATTGGCGTTTTGCTTCAGCTATAGAGTATAGATTCAGATGGAGATAATAAGATAATGATATAATAAAACCTTTTTCTAAAAAAATTAACCTGGAATCACTGTTAAGTTCTTGGCAATCCTTTTCACATACAGTTCCAAGTAAAACTATGTATGTGACACAATGTCAAACAACAGCTTTATATTTGCATACCTGTGGCATGAAACTGAGTCCAAGACTCGTTGAGATAATCCAGAAGATGACCAACTATCGAACCACTTGGCCCGCTTGAAGAAGAATTCTGCACAGAACCACTCCTACATCAGAATGAACAACAAAATAATAAAAATTGCACTATTGACCTTCAGCTGTTCAACTTGAAAGAAAAAAACGTGGATTTGTACGTTTTGGAGTTTCTAAACTATGTTAAGTCGGTTAAAAACCACAGTGGTCCTGAAATTAAAAAGCAACTCATTTCGAATCGAAGATCAAAGTACAGGTCTTTCAGGGACAGACATATCCATCATCATACAGAAATGTAAATGTAAGGTTATGATTCTAGAGAGCAGACCTCGGGAGTCGGGATCGAATTGGCACAGAGTGATGGAGTGAGATGAAGCTTGCGTATATGAGTGTTGTTTCAAAAAAAAACTAGGGTTACAATAGAACGGTGGCAAAGAAGATTGATGAGGGAATTTTGACGAGATTACAGTAGGTTTCAGAACTGAAGACGACTGTTGGAGGATACGAAATCAAGCGATGGCTGCCATTGATGAACGATTCCGTGAAGTCTCTGAGGAATTGTTGATGAACCCATAGTTCTCGAGGTTGATCTTTCTAGCATAGGCAGCATAAGCGGATTAAGAATTGTTGATTGGTAGTCGTTGTTGATCGTTGACGGGAGGTAGAGGTGTTCGATTGAGGGAGGATCGATGAAACTGGTGGGCGTTGGAGGCGAAGGCGGAGGGAGTGGTCGATGGAGTGTGGATGGAGTCGGAAGAAGGGAACGACCGATAGAAAGAAGGGTTATTTTCATAAAAGACCTAAAACTTTCATAGTTTTTCTATTTAAACCAAAAATTTATTTTTTTGCCAATTTAAACCCAATATTTTCCCTAAATTTTCTATTCCCCCCACTTTCCAGGTTTCCATGTCACCTTCAGGTAATACGGAAGTTTTTTTTTTTTTTTTTTTCAATAAAAACCCTATATTTCCCAACTTTTCCCCAAAAACCAAAATGATTCAAATACATTTTTCTTGGCATGGTATCGTTATATGACTTTATATACACCAAAAAACAATTTATAGGTTGTTTAATATGTAAAATTTTTGGTGTTAAAATGATGTAATAAGTTGGAGATTAACCATTCTTTATACCAAAAGTACATTATTTTGATACAAAAATGATATAACAACATACACTCATCTTTTCCGATTTAACATATAGTATACCAACAAATATCACAGTAACAATAAGCAACTTCACGTGTACTACTAGTTCTGGCTCAAGCTTCTGCTACTAATTCCATCATTGCTAACATAATATACCGATTAGAAAATATATTATTTGTAGGTTAGCAAACAAAAATAATGCTAATGGCCTACCGATTAGAAAGATCATTCTTCGGGTTTTTTTAAATTCTTCACCAAAATATAATTTTTTTTACCAAACACTCTTCTTTTTGTTTTTTTTCCTCACATCAAAGTGGAGCATTTTCAAATTGGTTCGACTTTTCGGGTTTTTTTCCATCTACTTTGTAATTAGTTTTTTTGCACTAATCTAGTGGTTTATTAGTTTTAATATTTAACTCACATCCTTTAAACCCGCTTCAATTTTTTTCATACTATATAGTGCTCATGTACTTATCAACATAGCATTATTTTATTATTGTTTGCGATTACTAACTTTTCCTTATAGTATTAACGGATAAAAATCATTTTAATTTACTTTTTAAAATACGACATAAATTACGACATACATCTTTGTCTGTCGTAAATCATTGATATTTTACGATATATGACATAAATTTTATGACAGACTTTAATGCCTGTCATAAACGTTCTGTATGTCGTAATTCGTCTGTCAAGAAAAGCCTTTTTTCTAGTAGTGATGTCACTAGCAATAATGAGGTCCCACTCTGGATGAGGATTAGGGAATGGATCACCCCATGAATCTGGTAGATAAATAAAAATATAAAAAATCAAATAACATGTTGTGGTTTTATGTATTTTATACTGATATCAAAACCAAAGTAAACGTGAATGGAGATTAGAGAACGAACGCTTGATATGAGGAACCACAGGATTTACTCCATTAATCCTACAATTATGACCTATATTCTCTTCAATCTCCTGATCATCATAGTCAGAAGTTGTAATGTCTACCTGACACAACTTTAAAAAAAAATGACCAATGCACCTGTTCCACTACTGACATGCATGATTGATCCATAGTTAAATCAAGACTTGTCATTTATATTTGAAAATAAATGAAATATCAAAGTTAAATCAAACACTCAAACAAAAATACTCAAAGTAATGCTCTTTTCCCCCATTAAGTGTTGTTTGTATAAATGATATTTAAAAGATATTTGGGAAAACGACAATACAAGGGCAATTTGGTAATAAGCCATGACTTAATGGGGAAAGCCTCAAAATTCAGGTTATGTAGTTTCTAATTCATTTTTTAAGGGGAAATAGTAAATAAGTAGTGATTTTGACAGAGTATAGTTTCTTACCAAATTAATTCCTATGGAAATTAAGAATCGATGAGGTTATATCAGAAAGGGACTACCCTGAGACAACTGATAAGATAACCATCACCACCAGATCCATATCTTATTCCCATTTGACTAACTTCATAGAACTGAGAAGATAACCATCATCCCTAAAAATGTCAAAAACTTGCATTATTATCAAATAAAGGACATAATTAAGTGAAAATAAGCACAAGAAAGTGCCTGAAACAACAGAGTTCACACCTCTTTGACGACTCATCTTGGAACTATCTCCATTATCTTGTTTTATTTCTTCATAATTTAGTGAAAATAATAGACCTACTTTAGAAGTTCTGTTGTCATCTTAAGATGAAATTTAGCTTTATCATCCTTTAGCACCGAAGAAACAACCTCTTTCCCTTTAGCAAAGGCAATATTACCTAAATGAAGAATAGCAGCAGTAACTCTGAAAATTGCTTCCTATCAGAAAACAAGACAAAATTACACCAGTGTCCATGGCTCACAGATTCTTTGGAAGAAGAATCATGATAAAAATCCACTAAAGGTATATTCCAGGAAAAAGAATCAGATCACAGCTGCCAATATGGGGCAATTGAATTCTATTTTTGGGAATTGGTCGAATCCACTAGGCCAAATTGTAACATCCCGAGAATTGGCAGGTATTCCCGAACCCTCTTTTATCATTACCTTGTCATTTATAGTCCTTGGGTTGGAAGTGAAGAGCCAAGATAAGTTTAAGGGCCAAGTTTGCAAATTTGGGCCAAGAGGGAGTACGGTGCACGTACATAAGAGTACGCTAAGCGTATTAAGGTCTGCCTTAGTATGCTGGGCGTACACTTGTGTACGTTGGGCGTACAAATGTCAGGGTGAAACCCTAATATTTAGGGTTTGGGGCCTATATAAGCAACATTATGAGCACCAAAGCCTCCCTTACCTCAACCTCCGTAGATCATACTCGTCCTTCCCAAACCCTAGCCTCTCCTATGTGTGTTTAAGCTCATTTGGTGTGTTCTTGAGTGCTTGAAGAGGAAAACCATTGCATCAAGAGTTGGAGGAAGAGACCAAGCTTGTAGATCTAAAGTTAGATTGTGCTCAAGAAACTCTACAAGGTATAAAGTTCCAAACTTTATGCATGTATGATTAGATCTCTCCATTTTGCTTTGAAAGACCCATTTCTTGTCACAAAAACCACAAGGTGGTGCATGTCGTGTTTTGGACAAAAAGGACTGTCCTTCAAGACTCTTGTGGGGACCTTGAGTGATAAAAATGATGTCACATTAGCTGAATGTATCCCATGCATGGAAAAAATAAGGTCTTAATGGATTAAGACCAAACATTAAGAACTTTATGAACGTTCAAAGTGATAAAGTTCACGACTTTATGGATTCTAGACATGTCAGGTCTCTGGATCTAAAGTTTGGACTTAAGTGCTTGAGCCATTAAGCACTTAATGAAGTTTTGGCAAACTGTCCAGTACGCCCAGCGTAAATCCAGTACGCCCATCGTACTGGGTCAACCACCCCGATGGTGGTCAACGTTGGATGAGTACGCCCCACATACCAGAGGAGTACGCCCCACGTACGTCCTCTGTTGGGCTTTTGACTAATGGACTTCGGGTTTGGGCTGTCTATGGACTAAATGGAATTGGGCCTTTGCTGGACTCTATAAATAAGATGTTTTGGGCCGGGTAGTGATAGTGGATCATGGGGTTCGGCCCAATTAGGAGGTTGGGCATAATTTAGTAAATTGGGCCAATAGTGGACTTTATATTAAGACTTTCAAGTCAAGGACTTGGTATTGGGCCTTGGCCCAATAAGGAGAATGGACTTAATGTGGAATGTGGACACTTAGTCAAAGGAGTTATGTCGGGTATTAACCTAGTATTTATTATGTGTCAGTTCGGGATTTCCGGTGAGACAACAGTCAGAGAGTTACAGTATTCAACACTACTAGCGAGGTGAGTTATCCTCACTATATCAGCAGGGTCTAAGGCACCAAGGCCAACCCTTTATGGATTTGTATCCGGATTATTACATGATATGTTTATTGTTTTGCATCCTGGTGGTTAGGATGGTGATATGCTTATGCTTATTGACCTGGTTTGGTCGGTGTCCTGGTTATAAGATTATGCTATGTTAGTGACCTGGGTAGGTCGGTGTCTTGGTTATAGGATGTTTCTATGCTATTTGATCTGCTAGATCGGGTTGACTGTTATTATGATAGCGTATGATATGTATGTGCACATGTTTGTTTGATTGGGGGTTGGGTTGAGGCGGTCCTGCTTTGTACTGAAGGCCAACATACCCAAGGCGAACCAGATAGACTACAAACCCAAAAGGGTATGGTAGTCAGACCGAAGGCCCGGCGAGCGGTCCAGATAGGCTGAAGGCCCTGAGAGGCGGTCCAGACGTGCCGAAGGCTCAGAGAGCTGTCCAGATAGACTGAAGGCCTACGAGGCGGTCTAGTCAAGCTGAAGGCTCATGATGCATGCTATTCTGTATTTGTTGATATATATGATTATGGTTATATGAGGTTGGTATTTTGGGGGTAGCCCACTAAGCTTTCGGGCTTACAGTTTCAGTTTGTTGTTTCAGGTACTTCTAGTGATCGCGGGAAGGCGAAGGCATGATCGTACCGCTCCTCCTGCTGTTCTGATTTTATGATTTGATACTGGGATACTCTGATAATTATTATTTTGAAAACAAACTATGTAATGTTAAATGGTTTTAAGTGTTTTGAAAAAGTTTAAAATTGGCATGTTTTTTTT